TAATTGGCGTCTGTACACGAATATTAATTGGTGTCTGTACACGAATATTAATTGGCGTCTGTACACGAATATTATTTGGCGTCTGTACACGAATATTAATTGGCGTCTGTACACGAATATTATTTGGTGTCTGTTAACGAATATTAATTGGTGTCTGTTAACGAATATTAATTGGTGTCTGTTAACGAATATTAATTGGTGTCTGTTAACGAATATTAATTGGCGTCTGTACACGAATATCAAATTTCACGAATATTAATTGGCGTCTGTACACAAATATTAATTGGTGTCTGTACACGAATATAATTGGTGTCTGTACACGAATATTAATTTACACGAATATAATTAGTGTCTGTACACGAATATTTATTTACACGAATATTAATTGGTGTCTGTACACGAATATTAATTGATGGATGTAAATCAATATTAATTGGTGTCTTTACACGAATATTAATTGGTGTCTTTACACGAATATTAATTGATTTCTGTACACAAATAAGAGTAGATTCAGTAATTCGGATTGTCAACAAAAAAAAACCGCACGAATGAGAGGCAACGAAACACGAATGAGAGGCGACGAAACACAAGAATGGGAGACAACGAAACACGAAAGACAGACATCGAAACATACTAATGACAGACAACGAAACACACGAATGAGTGGCAACGAAACACACGAATGAGCGACAACGAAACACACGATTGAGAGACAATGAAACACACGAATGAGAGACAACTAAAAATACGAATGAGTGACAACGAAACACACGAATAAGTGACAACGAAACATACGAATGACTGACAACGAAATACACGAATGAGTGGCAACGAAACATACGAATGAGCGACAATGAAACGCACGATTGAGAGACAACGAAACACACGAATGAGAGACAACGAAACACACGAATGAGTGACAACGAAACATACTAATGACTGACAACGAAACACACGAATGAGTGGCAACGAAACACACGAATGAGCGACAACGAAACACACGATTGAGAGACAACGAAACACACGAATGAGAGATAAGGAAACACATGAATGAGTGACAACGAAACATACTAATGACTGACAACGAAACACACGAATGAGTGGCAACGAAACACACGAATAAGTGACAACGAAACATACTAATGACTTGGTAGAGCAGGAGAGTAGAGCAGGAGGGTTGAGCTGTACCCCTTTTAGCGCATATTCTCATTTATGGAAAAAAAGGCGCTATTGTGCTCGTCATGTACGTCCGTCCGTCCGTTTGTCCGTCTGTCCGTCCGTGACTTCATGTTTTCGTCGACGAGAAAATGCGCTCTCTAACACTCACTGCAGTGAGTACTGAGCTATATTTGCTAAATGCTCCATTTCTGTTCCCCATTTGTCCCCTATTTCCTCTGTATGCTCCATCACTTGGCCTTCCCTGCCTCCTCATTGTTCCCTCTCTGCCCCCTCATTGTTCCCTCTCTGCCCCCTCATTGTTCCCTCTCTGCCCCCCTCATTGTTCCCTCTCTGCCCCCTCATTGTTCCCTCTCTGCCCCCTCATTGTTCCCTTTCTGCCCCCTCATT